GTTCGTCCAACCTGGCCCCGCACCCCGCTGCGGCCTGGGAACGCCGGTTCCTGCGCTAGGCCTCGGGGCGGCTGGGCCTCTGACCCCGCCGGAGGAAGAGGAGTCCCACCGTGTCGGGCCTGCCCTGGGCGCGCTTGTGTCACGGCTGCACCCCAGCTCAACTCTTGACGGCCCTTAAATGCGAGGAGGTGTGGGAGAAAAGGCCAAGGGGCAGATGGGAGGTGAACCCGGTTTTGCAGTGCAATGCACTTTGGTGTCCACGTTCAAAGCAAATAAACAAAACTACCCTTTTTTAGAGATAAATTTTTAGACCGCGACATAACGGTTATTAAATGCATTTAAAGGAAAAAGAAGTTATGCTATATTTTTAGGTTGGTATTTGACTTTTTTTGTGTGTAATCATTGAGTTTTTCTTTACTATTCTTACAGCTGTGCTGTATTTTCTGCAGAGACTATTAAGCAGTAACCTACCGAGGGTACATTTATTTTTCAACCTTTTCTTCCATTAATTACAATGAACCTATTTTTGGGGGGTTCCTTGGCAATTTTGAAAACCAATTTAATTTTCCAAGATTCATTCACCTGTTCAGCCCATTTATTTTCTATTCCTGCAACTAGGATGCTCTTAAAACATGAGGGCACACGTAACCCTTCACTTAATTCAATTTTGTGTTGATGTAATAGCCTGAGAAGAATAATAAGTTAAATCCACACTTTCCCTTTCTAATGCAATTGTTTAAAAGCTTACAAATCAAGTAGTTGTAATTTACAGCAGAATTACGAGGACTGAAGACACTGAATTAGAAATCTAGTATTCTTTTAAGCTGGCCTCTGAAAGGTGACTTCCTCATAAAACCAAAAGCAACGTGGCACTGAAATGGGGCTGTAAACAGTATTCTGGTCTAGTTTAGTCTGGGTTCAGGAGAAACCAGAGTTCTTGTGGAAATCACAAATTTGCAGCAGAGGAGCAGTTTGAACACACCGTATCATGAAAGCTGTTACTAATGATTCTTTCAGTTCTTAAGACTTCTGTCAAGTTGTCAGTGCAAACTATTTAGCCTCTACCTTGAAATTCCTGTGATACTGTGTCTTGTTTGGTGACCCTTGCTGTTTGCCATGTGTTATAAACAGGTTAAGAAAAATGTCATTCATTTCCATTTTACTCTGGGTTCTGAAAGACAGAATTAAAAAAAATTATAGAACATTAAATTCTTGAGTGATCTGACAAACATTGTATTTGTTGCTAATGTGTAAGCCACACAGTAGACTGCAAATATTATAAAGAGTTTTAAACAGAATTAATCCTGGTAACTGCCAGTGCCGCAATCTGTGTTTAGGATTCCTGTGTTCCAGAATAGCAAACAGGAATATTAATAGTTTGTTCCTTTTCAATATCTGATGACTTCGTAACATGTTATGTTGCTAAGTATAGGTGCCTTCTGATCGAATGAAGTGATTACATTACCTTAGAAACTGAGCTTTTTCTTATTTATTGTCCTTTGGTTCTGTCGCAGCTTGTATTATTGCTTGTACTCAACCCCTTCTTCAGTGCATAGGAAATTGCATGTGTTAAATGTGTTTTCCATCAGTCAGATTGGTTTCTTGAATAAACTTCACTTCACATGTGATTTGAATCATTAACAGGTCATCAGTATTTGGATGCAGTTCTGCACATACTCTTGTTCTGTACGGTTCTGTTTACTTCTCTGCAAGTAAATTTTCCAGAACTGGACATTCAAACCTTTCAATTGCAAATGAATTAACCTATAGTTTCCGTTCATGAAAGTGGAACGAGTTGGTGAACTTTAACGGAGCATGATCAATGAAATAGTATTCTTTGTGCTCTTGCTGGCTCCATGTTGACAGATTTGCTTCAGAGAACTTTACCCAAAGGTCTCATAGATATTACTGTAAATAAATATGATGGTTTTGTTCTTGGAGAGAGGAAAAAGAGCTTATTCCTTCTGAGGAATTTGTGAATTCCAGCATAAGTCCTTTTCATAGCACTTTGATGCTATTGTACTTCTAAATTTGTAAGTAGTATGCCAGGAAGATTATATGATTAAGGTGTCACTGTAGAGCTCAGAGACTTACTTACCCCTAAATCTTCAGCAGTGAATACTGTAATGCTAAAATTGAAAGGGACTTGAAAAGGAAAGGCTTATTTCACCTGAAAAGGCTTATTTGCTGACTGGTGTTGCTGTGCACTGTCCAGTGCAAAAGTGTGGGAAACTAATACTTGAAGATAGTTGAATGTCATACAGACTAAAAATCTTATTTTCTGTGCTTTAGGGAACAAGTGCAGAACAGGACAATCGCTTCAGCAACAAGCAGAAGAAGCTGTTGAAGCAGTTGAAATTTGCAGAATGCTTAGAAAAGAAGGTAAGTTGATTAGTATGAGATAGGAAGTAAGACACATGAATGGAAGACAATTTTCAATGGCATAATTTGGTATCAGATGGTACATACAGGAATGTGAGGAATGTCTTCTCTAAAACCA